CTTTATTGCACCCATTATCTGAAAATTAATGATTCAAACATGTTTTGTCTTTGTTAAAAGAAATATTTTATTAGGTTATGAGGTTGATACCAGTGTTGAAATTTCAACTGGAACCAACATTCCAACTTCAAGCTGTTGTAAATAGTACAATTGAAAGATAAACATTAATTATTAAATGGTAAGTTGAATATAAGTAATTTAGGGTAAAAAAAGTCAATTATTCAAATTATTAGTTAAAGATTTGTTGAAACATTTGCCTGACATTTTTCTTACATAAAGTTTTGCAATTTTTAAACATTGACTCTTCACACTCGTAATTCGTAATTTTTAATAAATAAAATATCATTCGTGACTTAAAATATACAGGTACGTAACACTTATTTTTAATTAAATGCTTTTTAAACAGGTAATTATATCTTACATATTTCCGCGATTTTTTTTTTAACATCTGGAAAGTGTCATCAACCTCTCGAAAATTAATAAATATAACATTTAACTTTCTTACCATTGAATACGGAGGTTTTTACATCGGAATTATTACTAGTATCATTTTTTTTAGAGTTATCATCTCCATCACCGGAAGGCGAACTAAATGAAAAAGAAGGCACAAATTCGGCAGCATTCACGTTCAACGTGGAGAATTTTGCCGATAGATCATTTGAATCTCCATCTTGGTCAACTGGCGAGGAATCAGCTTGAGTTTCCCACGAATCTGGAGCGACGTTATTTGACATATTTCACTTAAATATAACAATGTTCAAAAAAGATAGTTCTAAGTCTATTATAACCAGTCTGCCAATATTTTGTCCACTCTCGTATCCGCGTGTGTGATCACTTCACACCGGAAGCTAATGGCCGACTGTGGTTTCACTGAATCATTCTTAATTTCAATTTTTTTTAAAAGAAATTTTTATTATTAACCCGAAAATTTAATAATATACAAATCATTATAAATCAAACAACGTACTTTTATGAAATTTTCTAATATTTTAATAAAATATAAAAAATATTTTATTAGATTTTTAAATGGGTGAACCCTTATCCGGCGCGATAAATCAGCTTCTTTAATTCATGTAATTATTTTTTAATAAGAGAAAGGAAAGTGAGGAAAAAATTATTTTTAATATAAATTAATTTTAAAAATACATTTAAGATTTTTAAACGGTTTTTTCACTTATATATTTATAAAAAATGATTTTTTTTAAGTGATGCTCAATGATTATCAGCTGTTAGAAAAGTTGATGTTAAGTTTTTTTTTTTTTTTTTTTTTTATAATAATTTTTTCTTTTTAAACATTGATTTCAAATTTTTTTTTGGGAAATTTAAGGATTTTATAAAGTTCATCGATGCAATAAATTGTTTTAATTTCATATAAATAAAATTAAGTAAAAATATATCAAGTTACTGTATGAGAAGGAATGGATACTTTTGAATGTGCATAAATTTAGTGAATATAACAACTAACTAACTTTTCTGCTTTATTTACGAATTGTTTAAAGAATGAATGATTAAAGATTCGTTAGGTATTTTCGGTTTCAGACCTTTTTTTTTTTTAAAATGGTTTTCATTCCTCGATTTTATTTATTTAGTTATACGAAAAAATTAATGAAGTTAAATAGATATTATTCTAGTAGAAATGTTTTGAAACTACATGAAAGAGGGTTCTATTCTGATTTGTTTCCTTATAAAACTGCTGATGAAGTTTTAGATCTTTTAAATAGTGCAGATCAAACAGTATATGCAGGGTTTGATCCAACAGCTGACAGTTTACACATTGGCAATCTATTAGTTCTTATTAATTTACTACATTGGCAAAGATCAGGACACCAGGTAATAGCTCTCATTGGGGGTGCAACAGCACAAATTGGTGACCCTAGTGGTAAACTATCTGAAAGAGATAAAATGAAAGCACACTTAGTAGAAGAAAATACAGAAAAAATTGAAAATTGTATAAAAAATATATTTGATAATCATTTAGAATATTTTTGTGACAAGGGAGAAACACATAAAAATATTCAAGAGTTACAGTAAGTTTTTTTTTAAATTGAATTTATTTATTTATTATGTAATATTTTTTTAAAATAAATTTATTAATAATATTAATAAATTTAATAAAAATTTTAGGATAGTCAATAACACTGATTGGTATTGTAATATGTCTGCTTTAAACTTTATTAATAACATAGGAAGAAACTTTAGGTTAGGGCCAATGCTTGGAAAACAAAGTATAAGAACTAGAATGTCTACAGACGAGGGACTTTCTTTTTCAGAATTTTCATACCAAATTTTTCAGGTATTTATTTTAAAATTCGATAAATCAATTAAAGACAATTTAACAAAAAAAAAAAAACAAAAATTTTAATGTGACTGTGAATTTGCAGGCTTACGATTGGTTGCATCTATTTCAAAATTATAATTGTCGATTTCAAGTAGGAGGTAGTGATCAATTGGGAAATATCGTTTCTGGCTATGATTTAATACAAAAATTTCATAAAGTACCAGTGTATGGATTAACAATACCTCTAATTACAACAGAGGAAGGAGATAAATTTGGTAAAACAGCTGGAAATGCAATTTGGTTGTCCAAAGAAAAAACTTCAGCTTTTCAATTGTATCAATTTTTAATTCGAATAAAAGATAGCGATGTGCAAAAACTATTAATGCTTTTCACATTTGAAACAATGCCTAAAATATTAGAAATTATGAATGAACATTGGAAAACACCTCATAAAAGGATAGCTCAAAAAGTATTAGCTGAAAACATTGTTAAATTAGTACACGGACGTAAGTTATGATTTTACATCATCCTCTTTTAAATATATAAATAAATATCGCTTGAAAATAATTGGAATGATTATTTTTTGCAGCTGCCGGTCTACAACAAGCTGAAAATGTAACTGCAGCTTTATATGAAAATAATTTAGAACATTTAAAAAAATTAGAACCGTTAGATTTACAATCAGTTTTCGAAGGAGCAACATTTACTGAATTACTATTGGAACCGGGGACGACAATACTCGAAGCAGCCGTTAAAGCTGGTTGTTTTAAAACAAAATGTACGTTGTTTTGTTTTTGCTTTTTGCTTTGTTGATTTCATATTATTATTTTTTTTTTATTGAAAATAATTTCGTTAATTTTAATTTTTTTTCACAGCTGATGCCGTTCGAATAATATCAGCTGGAGGATTTTACATAAATCATCAAAAAGTTAACAACGGACAAGAAGTTATTTCCATGCCGAGTCACATATTACCAAATAACGTGTCGTTAATGAGGGTTGGAAAAAAGAATTACACGATTGTTAAATGGTCTTAAAATTTTTTTAGGAATTATCCAGGTAAATATATATATATATATTATTTTAAATAATTATAAGTGAAGCGATAAGAAAACTCATATTTTATTATTTATTATTATCTATTATTATTATTATTACAATTTATTTATTTAAACTTTTGTCAAACCATTCTCTTTTTTTTTTTTTTTTTTTTTAAATTTTACAGTTTTTACAACACGCATAAAAAAAATTAATAATAAAATTTTCCCTTTTCGATTTATTATAAATAGTTGATAATAAATTACGTCATAAAGGAAACACTATTATTATTATTATTATTATTATTTTCTTACGGTTTTTCGAAATCTTTCCTTCTTTGATATTTTTTTCTTTTTTTGTATCATATTCCGATCGTTAAATAAATTTCAAATATTTAAAAAAAAAAGTTAAAAAAAAAAGTAGAAAAATTTGTGTTTTCCAAATTCTGTGTGGGGGGAAGGGGAAAGGGGGAGGGAGAGGGGAGGGGGCGCGGGAGGAAAAGGAAAAGAAAATTTTTTGATTATTTTAATTATTCTGTTCCATTATTTCAAATTAATTTTTTATTTGAAAAAAAAAAAAAAAAAAAAAATTGATGAGGTTTAAAATTATTATCACGTATGTACCTCTTCATAATTATTATTATTATTAATACTAAGATGGTGGAGCTTGAAATGTATTTTTAATTTTTTTCAAATGAAATCCGTAATTGGGAAAATCTTGTATCAATAATTCCATGACTAATATTAAATCTTGATTTTTATTTTTGACCTTTTGGATTTCATTATCCAGTAATTGTTCGTTTTTAAATAAAAGTTTATATCTTCCATGTTTCAACAAATCGTATAATTTACATTTTTTCTGTCGCCTGATCAATATTTCCAAATTCTGTAAGCAAAAAGAGAGAGAGAGAGAGAGAGTAAATGTTAATAATTTAAAATTTTTGCTGTTGGATGAATAATTTTCTATTTACCAAACATTTTTTAAGTTGTCCTTCTTCTAATCTTAAATTTATTTTTCTAGAAGTTTCTTTCATTTCCATCAGAGTATTTTCTTTCATTTGTATCGTCTTTCGTAAATCTTCTTGACCTTCTTGTATGTTACTTATATCTGTTTGAATCCCTTTTATTTCCTACGCGAAACAATACAAAATTATCATTATTATTATCAATAATAGTTTTCCCCGGAAAATTTTTCACGTTAAAAACATTTTACGTTGTGTACGGTTCGGAGTTGATTTTTTAACAAATCCACTTTTTTTTGCACGACCGATCTTATGTTTTCCTTTTTTAAATTACGTCTTTCCTTTGCATTGACGTTGTCCAAAATTGAATCCCTTCTTAAAACGCATTGTTCGAGATCGGTTATTAGTTTTTCTTGTACTTTTTTCAATTGTCCGTACCTGACCTGTTTAAAATAATAAAATTTTTCAGGTTTTTTTTTTTTTTTTTTTTTTTTTTTATTCGGGGGATTTTACCACGTGGGGGAGAGAGAGAGAGAGAGAGAAAGAGAGAGAGAGAGAGAGAGACAGAGAGACAGTTTTACCTCCATTCTATGAATTTCAACTTTCATTTGTCCCAATTCTCCAGCAGAAGATCTTTGTCTTTGCACTTCATTTTTAGCTTCTACAGCCGATTTGATTTTTTTTTCCCACGCTAATATTTCCCTTTGAGTGGATAACATGGTTTCCGCTAATTCTTCCAAATTATTTTCCAATTCTTTTATTTCATCTTTCAAACGTATTTGTTCCAATTCCGATTCCTGTTTATTATTATTATTATTATTATTATTGTTATTATTATTAATTTTAAAGAAAAAAATGTGATTTTAAACGACCTTTAAATTTTGTACGAATTGTAATTGTGTCAAAGCATTTTCTTTTCCCAAATTTTCACGATAACCTTTTTTACCGACGAGGATTTCGTTGAGTCCCAACAATTTATGTTGAAGATGACTTATCGTTTTATTAACTTCGTGTTCTATTTCCTTTTCCTTTTGTAATTCTCTTTCCGTTTTAAGAGATCTTTGTTCGAATAGTAAAATTTCTATTTGTGAGAGAAAGAGAGAGGGAGAGAAAATTTAATAAAAAAAATTTTTTGTTAATCCGTTACGAATTATTTAAAAAAAAAAAAAAAACCGGAAATAAATTTACGTTTTCTCAACAAGCTGATTTCTTTTAATTGTTCAGTTCTTTGTTCAGATAATTTAACATTATTATTTTGATGTATTAACCAAAAACTTTGCATTTTATCATTTTTAGCTTGGATTTCGGCATTTATTTTTTCCAATTCTAAAACTCTTTGTTGTGACGGACTCACCCACGCTTTACCATAATCGCTTTTCTGTATTTGTTTTTCTATTTTTCTCGTTAGCGTTGCATAATTTCCTTGTTTTTGTATTATGGCACTAAGACATTTTTCTATTTCCTATCGTTTTAAAAAAAAAAATTAATTAGATGGGTCGGGGGGAAGGGGAGGGGGGGGGAAAAAAAGGAAAAATTTATTTTTCTTCTTACATCTTCAAGTGTTTTTATTTCCTCTTCTTTAAGAGTTATTTCATTGTTTCCTTCTTTAACAATTTCATTATTTCGAAAAATAATTTCTTTAAGTTCTTCAACCTCAAGAAACCTTTGCGATATTTTATTTTCCGATTCTATTAATGAAAATTCTTGAGCTCTGTTTTTCTTTAATGTTTCCTTTATTAATTTTGTTAACTGATGAACCGTTTTATCGTTTATTAATAATTCCTGTTCGAAATTTAAAAATTCATCTTGAATTTTGTTATGTTCTTCCACGTATTTTTCATATTGTATTTTTAAACTGTTAAGTTCCTGTTGGATTTTGTCTATCGTCTAAAAAAAAAAAAAACAAAAAAATTGAAAGATTCGATAGGATCGATCGATCGATCGAACGTAAAGAAAATTTTTTTTTTTTTTTTTACGGCTTTAAGAGTTGTCAGCTCGTATTCCGATCTTGTTATCATGGCTGCCGTTGCCGTTATTTTATTTTCCGCTATTATTTTCTTTTCGTTTAGTGTTCTCAATGTTATTTGCCCATTTTCAAATTCTCTTTCTCCTCTTCCTATTATCACGACTAATTTTTCATTTTTTTTCATTTCTTCCGCCGATGATTTTTTATAACTTTCTATTTCGACGTTTAACGAGTGAAACGCATCTTGTGCTTTCCTATAAAGATAGAAAAAGAAAAACGAACGATTAGAAAAGGGAGGAAGGAGGAGGAAGGGTGGTAATGATGGGGGAGGGGGGTAGTGTAAAATCAAATAATTAATTACTATTTTTATAATTATTATTAACTTGCTTTAATTCTTTCATTAATTCGAGATAAATGTTATTTTTTTGTTTTATCGCTATGGCAACACTGTTCCAAGCTGATGTTAAACGACTTTGTTCGGACATTAATGCGTGTAAATCCGCGGATGAATCCGCGAGTGTTTGACTCAACGAATCTTTTTCTTCTAATTTTAAATCTATTTCGCCGGAAACTTCTTTAAGTTCGGTTTCGAAATGCGATACGGAAAGCATTAATTTAAGCAAATACATATCCTATAAACGACAGCAAATTAATTTTTAAAAATTTTCATTGTTTCGTTTAGCAAAAAAAAACCGTTAATTTTAAAAAATTTTTTACCATTTTTCTTTTTTCATCTACTAATTTTATCTTATCGGCAGCTGTTTTTTCACTTATCCTTTGAGATATCGTCAATTCGGATTCCATTTCCTTTTCCCATTCTTCCATTTGTTTTTCTATCGTCGATAATTTTTTAAATTCTTGAGCCAATACCATTTCTTTAACAAACAAAATCATTATTATTATTATTATTATTATTATTATTATTATTATTATTATTTATTTTTTACGATTCGTTACATTTTAAAAAATTTTTTTGATTAATAAAAAAAACCAAAAACGAATTGAATATAAACTTTTTCTTTTTTTTATTCGCGACAGGAATTTATTTATTTATTTATTTAATAATAATAATAATAATAATAATAAGGTGTGCAAATGGTATAAAATCAACGAAACTATTATCATCATCATTTTCAATTTTTTTTTTCTTTTTAATTTTTCTTAAAATTCTTTAGAAAAAAAAAATAACAAATTTTCTATTATTAAACTATTGTGAAAAGGTTTGAAAAAGGTTTTAACGTACAAAAAAAAACATTAA